AGGATTTTCTCTTTGTCTCTGAGACTCGTAAGTTTTACTATTAGATGTCGGGGTGTTGACCTATTTTTATTGATTTTGAGAGGGGTTCTCTGTGCCTCCTGGATTTTGATGCCTGTTTCCTTCCTCACATTAGGGAAGTTCTCTGCTATTATTTGCTCCAATATACCTTCTGCCCCTCTCTCTCTTTCTTCTTCTTCTGGGATCCCAATTATTCTAATGTTGTTTCGTCTTATCGAATCACTTATCTCTCGAATTCTGCCCTTGTGATCCTGTAGTTGTTTCTCCCTCTTTTTCTCAGCCTCTTTACTTTCCATCATTTGGTCTTCTATATCACTGATTCTCTCTTCTGCCTCATTTATCGTAGCAGTTAGTGCCCCCATTTTTGATTGCACCTCATCAATAGCGTTTTTGATTTCGACTTGGTTAGATTTTAGTTCTTTTATTTCTCCAGAAAGGGTTTCTCTAATAACTTCCACGCTTTTTTCAAGCCCAGCTAGTATCTTTAAAGTCATGATTCTGAACTCTAGGTCCGACATCGTACTAATGTCCGTATTGAGTAGGTCCCTGGCTGACAGTACTACCTCTTGTTCTTTTTGCTGAGGTGATTTTTTTCGTCTTGTCATTTTGTCCAGAGGAGAATAGATGAATGAGAGAACAAAATGCCAACAGGTTTACAACGTCCCCAGCAAATATACTGTATACAAATCAGAAAAGACCTGAAACCAGGGGAAAAGAAAGGGAAAGAGAAAAAAGAAAGAGAAAAAAAAAAAAGATAAAAACAAAAACAGAACAATACAAAAAAAGCAGAATGTGATCAAATATGATCATGCTAGTGCATAGATCAGTGCCACACACTAGATTTTGGGTGTATTTTGGTCTGTTAGAAAAAAGTGCCTCCTAAAATTTTAAAGGAAGAAAGACATATATGTACAAAATAAGGGTTGATACAATGAAGGGGTAGAAGATGACTGTAAAGATGAAAATTATAAAAGATTTTATAAAAGGACTTGATAAGATAAGGAGTTGTTTGAAAAAAGAAAGAAGATTTAAAAAAAAAAAAAGAAAAAAGGGAGAGAATGTGATCAGGCAGGAGACTAGAACAGAACCATACACTAGTGATTTAGGGTATATTTTTATCTGTTAGAAGAAACTGTATCTCAAAATTTTGAAGAGAGAACAACTTATATATATATGCCAAAAATAAGGGTAACTACTATGAAGGGATAAAATATGACTCTAAAAATGAAAAATAAAAAAATTTTTTTTTTTTAAAAAGAGATTGATAAGATGTTGGTTGAAAAAGGGAAAAAGAAGAAAAAAAAAACCAGTTAACAAAAATTAACTTTGATGAACTAATGAATCATGGTAAAAAAAAAAAAAGCCATGAATTCTATGTGCAGTATTCCCCTAGCGCTGGAGTTCTCCCGTTCTCCTTGATCGGTAAACTTGGTCTTGGCTTGCTGGCTGTTTGTGCTGATCTTCTGGGGGAGGGGCCTGTTGCTGTGGTTTCCAAATGTCTTTGCCGGAGGCTGAATTGCCCCGCCCTTGTCTGTCCGGGCTAAGCAAGCTGCTCGGGTTTGATCTCAGGAGCTTTTGTTCCCTGCAAGCTCTCCGTACAGCCTTGGAGGACCAGGGCAAAAATGGTGGCCTCCCAATCTCCACCCGGAGGAGCTGAGAACTCGGGGCCCCGCTCCTCCGTGCGCCCCCAGAGAAAAGCAGTCACTCCCGTCTCCCTGGTCTCCGGCCGCACTCCGGGCTCACCCGGCCTGTGACCAAGCGTTTGTATCTCTGGCACCCGACCCCGTGTGGAGTCTCCAAACCCAGCAGATCCCTGCGGTGCGTTCCCGCGCCGCTCCTCCCGGGGGAGGAAGGGGAGTCTCCCCGGATCTGCCGCCTGTTGGGTCCCTGCTGCAGGAGCAGTGGCCCGACTGTGCCGCGGATCACAGTTTATGGCCACCCCGAGCTGAGAGCCCGCGCCTCAGCTCCGTCTCTGCAGCCGGCTTCCCCGCTCTGATACCTGGGAGCTCTGCCGCACTCAGGCACCCCCGGTCTTTCTGTGACCCCAAGGGTCCTGAGACCCCACTGTCCCGCGAGGGTTCCACCCCCTGCTTAGCCACTGGAGTGACGTCCCTCCGCGGAGCCGACTTCTAAAAGGTCCGATTTTGTGCTCCGCGGCTCTATCACTTGCCAGAAGCGGCCGGCGGAGGCCCCTCCCCCGCCGTCTATCCTCCCGAATATCGCCTTGGATTCACTTTTCCGCACGTCCTACCTTCCAGTAAGTGGTTGCTTTTCTGTTCAGAGAGTTGTTGCTACTCTCCTCTTTGATCTCCTGTTGAGTTCGTAGGTGTTCAGAATGGTTTGATCCCTATCCAGCTGAATTCCTGAGACCAGATGAAATCTAGGTCTCCTACTCCTCCGCCATCTTGCTCCGCCCCCCCACTTTCTGCTATTTTTAACCAGTTTCTTTGTTATGTGAGGCAAAACACATTAATGGTCACTGGCAAAAAGTCCATCTTGAAACTAGCTTATTTCTTATGCCTTTTATTTAACTGAGAATTCAGTGTGCAATGTATTGAAAAAGAGACAACAGAATTTGGGTAGATATTTTGTGAAATAATAGATCTGTAGTTTTGGGAAGTTGAGAGAAACCCCTTTTATAGATAAGTCATCCTTTAGGGTGTGTTCTAAAAGATATAAATCTGATGACATAAAAAAATAATTTTGTAAGATGAGATCCTGTCATTCAAAATATTTAATGATTTCCCTTAGCAGAAGATTGTCCCCAGAAATAGTTAAATATCACTCAAAAATAGTTAAATATCCTTTAATACCTTGTTAGTCAAACTGTGGTCCATGGATCAGCAAGATCATTATCACAGGGAGCTTGTTAGACCTACACAATCTCACCTCCATCCTAGACCTGCTGAATCTGAATCTGCCTTTTAACAAGATCCCCAGGGGATTCATGTGTTCATTAAAGTTTGATCATGGATTACTGAATCTCAGTTAGGGAGATTTCCACAGTCTACAGAATACTGGGGGCAGGGCCTCATGGGCCAAAGAATTCATGTTTCTTACAGGTCCTCTCATAAACTCTCTTCAGATGTATCACAGAATTTTCATTTTCACTTATAGTGATGGCTACATATAATGTTTCCTGCTAAAATCTGTATTGTTTTATCATTATTATTTTAAATGAGCTATCTCTAGAAGAAAGGCTTTGAAGTCTGGATCTGCCACTTCCCAGCCATCTGACTTTAAGCACATTACTTCAACAGTTCAAGCCTAGTTTTCTCATCTCTAGGAACTCTAGATTCTAGAATAAATCTTCAGGATATCATCTCTAGATGGTATTGATCTTATACTGTTGTGAGGATGAGTTGAGATAAGGTGGGTAAAACATTGTAGCCCCAGGCCTGGGACATGTAAGGAACTCATTGAGTATTAGTTCCCTTCTTCCTTGGTGGAACATGCACTCCATTGAAACCTTAGATTTATCTACTGTAAGTGATGTAAAGACTACTGAAAGTCTTTGCCTGTGTAGCAAAACTGTAATGTGGTTCCTATAAAACATTAGATTTTTAACAGCTCTACTTGCCGAGTAAGTGATTTGCAAAATGATATTTAAATAATTAAATAGAATTGAACTGTTTAGTGTGGTCCATCTGGATGCCAAATTGCACTTGCCAAAATGATAATTTGGATTTTAACATAATTGATACTTTACTCTTCTTCCTGAATCTGATTTATCAACAAGCTTTGCTGTTTCTCTGCTACTTAGCTTTTACTTAGTGACTGCTTCTGGGGTCTGCTAAAAAGTCTTCATCTTGCTAAGTTTCCTTGGCTTCCCTGCAGTCCTTGTCTAATGAGGAATCAGAGTGTTCCATTCCCTGGTGGTCAAAAATGTGGCTGGGTGGGTTCTGATGAGCTGTTGAGGGGTTGGCTGAGAAGCTGCTTCTGAAAGACAGCCTGGCCTAAGATCTGTAGACTCCTTGGACCACCAGTAGTTCTTTATAGTTAAACTCTTACTCTGTTGTAAACTCCCTGACCACACCATCCCAGGATAAGTGAATTGTGAAATGATTGCTAGACTGCATGGCAGTAGTCAAGGCTCAGAGAGACCTAAGGTCAATGCACAGGCAAATCCATGTGACAGATGATGCGGCAGCCACTCATGGACCCTCTCTTTATATGGGCTGCAGGTCTCCACAATTCCTTTCTACCTAGAGCACTTCACAATGTAGAGCACTTCTCAGTATGCTATCATTTTATTTAAAAATGTTTTTAAAAATTAAAACAAATATAGTAAAGTATAAAAGAGAACATAGCAAATACCCATATTCTTATCACCCAGAATTAATTGTTAATATCCCATTTAACCATCATTTCCTGTATCATTTCCCTTTCTAACACCTCCAAAGGCAGACACCATCAGTAGTTTAATATGGGGCATTATACACCTCTATAAAAACTCTCTCTCTCCATATCTGTAACCAATATGGAATATTATTTTGTGAGTACTTTCTAAAATGTACATAAATGGCATCAAATTATATCAGTCTTTCTGAGCGTTACTCCTCTCCCTTCAGCGTTATGCTTTTGAGATCCAGCCATGCTGATAGGCCCAGTTCATTCCTCAGTTTCATTTAACAGGAGTAGAGCTTTCAGTCTTGGAAATAGACTACATTTTACTAATCTCTTTTCAGGATTTGTAGGTTGTGGCTAATATCTAGCAGCCATCAGTAGATCTGTGAATGTACTGGCATTTCTGTTCCAGCCCTAATGGTTTTCTTGTTTAACTAATGGCTGCTGTCTTCATTAGAGATTAGTACATTAATTGAAACCGTACTTAGCCCTCTTGGTAAAGTGATGAATTGTATGTTTTATTCTTTTGTCCTTAAAGCTGAAAGGCAATGTGTGCACCCTTTGGGGAGCTCAGACTCCCTAAGTAAAGGACAGCACATTAAACAGCCCATTTGGTAAGAACAGGAGAGTCTCACATGTCATCTTCTATTTTGTTGGCTCTTGTTAGACACAGACCAATGAAAAGATTACTTCCATGTTTAGGCAGATCCAAGCTTACTCCAGTCTTCACAGCTTGCCTCCCTCGGTGGCTAGTGAAGGAAGTTTCTGTGGCTTCTGACTGTCAAAAAATTTTGTTTATCCTCATTAGCAAAGCCAACAGAGTAATGATACTAAGGTCTTTTGAGGGCATCTTCGGGACACACTGAATGGAGCAGTTATTTTAATGGGAACATTATCCTTCATATAAACTATTATTGCCTAGTTGCCCCAGGTCTCTCTTTCTTCTGACACCCTTTATTAAGAATGTATTCCAGGGGCGCCTGGGTGGCTCAGTCGTTAAGCAGCTGCCTTCGGCTCGGGTCATGATCCCAGGGTCCTGGGATCGAGGCCCTCATCAGGCTCCCTGCTCTGCGGGAAGCCCACTTCTCCCTCTCCCACTCCCCCTGCTTGTGTTCCCTCTCTTGCTGTGTCTCTCTCTGTCAAATAAATAAATAAAATCTTAAAAAAAGAATGTATTCCAAATTGTCAAATAAAAACGTAACTGTGTAAAGTTGTCCACTGAAGTGAAATGTGGTACAAAGCAGTTAATTACCCTACATGTGGGATTCCGTCCTAACCTAATCAGGGGGAAGGAGCCTGTAAGCAGGACAGGAGTGCGTGTGAGTGTGCATGTGCCCATGGATTCCGACCAGGTTTTCCTCCCCATTGTTCTGTAACCCCAGATGACTGTTACGTCATCTGCAAACTCTGTATGGTCAAGTTCAGTAGTTAATTCTCAATCTTCATCTCACTCTTCTCTTAGAGTATTTGATACAGTTGTTCCCTTCCTCTCTGAAGCACTTTCTTCATTTGGTTTCCAGGGGCAGTGCTTTCTTTTCTCTTGATTATCGCCTGTTTTCCAGTCTCTCTTGTGAGATACGCTTCACCTTCCAGGCTTCTACATGTCAGTATGTCCAAGGCTTCGGTCTTTCCATTTCCTTCCTCTTCTCTCTATACCATTAGATGTGATTACATCTAGTCCATGCCTGTAAGTACCATTTATAAGGTAACCATTCTCGAATTTATATCTGCGGGCCAGATTTCCTCCTTAACTTTCCAACTCATATCTCTCCGCCTCCATGGCAACTTCTCTTGGACAATGAATTGCAATGATTCCTTAAAAACTGTGAAACTGAAATCTTGAGTTCCACACCCCAATCTTTTGTGACTCCAGTATTCCCATTTCAATAAGTGGTCCTTCTGCTTAGCGTATTGCTCAGGCCACAACCCAGGGGGTCATTCCTGGCTCTTTTTCTCACCTTTGTACTTCACATCCATTCTGTTGGCAGATCTGTTGTTTTCACCTTAAAACCATGTAGTGACCATCTATCATCATCATCTGTACTGCTGCCACTCTAGTCCAAGTTGCTAAAGTCTCTGGCATGCACTGTGCCAATAGCTTTTACTAGACTCTTTTCCACTCTTGTCACTTACAGACCAGTCACTGCATGGCAGCTAGAATGAATCTTTTAAAACATAAATCCAATTGGAACGAAATAGAAAGTCCTTGCAATAGTCTATCAAGCCCTATTAGATCTGGCCTTTCTGAGAGCCTTTGTACTTGCTATTTTCTCAACCTGTGGTACTCTTTGAAGATATTTTCATGGCTTACTCCCTCACTACACTCAGTTTTCTGTGCAAATGGCACTTCATTAGTGAAGCCTTTCCTGACCACCCTGTCTAGAGAACATAATCCTTCCACCTCTCTCTTTCCCCTTAACCTGCTTCATTTTCTGCCTGCTTATTCATGCGGTGCCTGTCATCTTCCACTAGAACATAAGCTCCCATTGGGCAGGGACCCCTTTATTCACTGATGAATCCCCAGGTCTGATAATAATGCCTGCCACATGCATTTGTTGAATGGATTAATGCAGGGAAATTCTATTTTATTCTGTCCCCCGCCTCTACATTTTGTTATAATTGTAATTATTGAAAATGTATCATTTTAGAGAATGATTAAGGATGTGCATCTAGTTCTCTTACTCTTATCCCCATCCTGCCCCTGACTCATACACATTTTCACAGATATTAAGAAATTTGCTCAAGAAACATTAATAGTTTTACAGACATTTTGAAAGCCATGGTACCTCATTCACTTCTCAGATTCCAGTCTTTCTCTTAAATGTTTTGTTCAACTTCAAGACTTGTGGATGAGAAAGATATAAAATCAGCAGAAATGTTATACGTAGGATACCTGTGCTTGTTTGAATACTATGAAATGAGGAAAGACCGCCTAAATTAAAAGCATTCTTAATCTTGCATATGTACATATACATATGTGTTTTGAAGTATGTGGTTCTTGGTGCAAATACATACTAAAGTTTGCCAAGTAAAGGTTCTCTTCGATCTGTTTTAGTGATTATATAACTAATTTATATTTGTAACATTTGTAATTAGAATATTACCTGTATGCAAATGAGCATAAAAGTAATTTTAAGAATGATTAAAAACAGATGAATTTCTTTGTAAGTGATAGTTTATTTTTCTTCTACTTGGTATGTAATAAAAGGGACAGACATTAGTTTTGTGTATTTAAATCCTGGATGTTGAATTAAAATTTTCCAAATTGAGAAGGAGTTACTATAATTTGAACAGTTAAAAGGAGGAACTAAGACTCTGGTTTTCTTGGTTCAGATGTGAGGAAAGTCTTTAGGTAACTTCATCTTGACCCTTCAAAAGATTTCTGTTTCCTTATAGAAGCCACAGAAACCAATGTAATTCCCTAAATTAGAAAGGTCATTAGTACATTTGGCACTTCAGGTAATTCCAGAGTAACCCATTTCCTTGCTCACCCTGACTGGCTCTAGAACCTGTGGGAGAGATAGTTGGGCTAATTTTAAGTGAAAAGGACATCCCTTTCTGATTGTAGATCTCTTGGCTTACCTAAATTATCCCCTAGAGGCAAAGGAAGAATGGTAAAATGTTAGATACCACATTTATGCAAGCAAAGTATTAGTCTTGAATCAAATCAGATGATCTCTGATGGTGCATATTGCAAGATGCCGCAAGAGACTAGGATAGTGGTTTGTTTGTCATGACCACTGGGGGGGATGGGTAAGTAGCTTTGGGATTACTCTGATTCTGGCTGAGGATACCCCCCTGAATGTTCTCACTGGATCCTCTTTCTCCTCTACAGCTCTGCAGTATCTTCAGCCTTCTCCCAACAAGAGCAGCCAGGGATGACATCAGGAGAGCTCGCATATCCAAATAGTGCGTATCTGTCTTCTGGGGTGGCCTCCAGAGTCGAGGCCTCTACTTACTAAGGTTGGAGCCTGTGGGCAGAGCCTGGCAATAGAGGTGGAGGGCTGGTGCTTTTTTTTTTTTTTTTAAGGTTTTATTTATTTCTCTTAGAGCCCACAAGCAAGGGAAGGAGCAAAGGGAGAGGGAGAGAATCTCCAGCTGACTCTATGCTGAGCACAGAATCTGATGCGGGGCTCGATTTCACAACCCTGAGATCAAGACCCCAGCTGAAACCAAGAGTTGGATGCTTAACTGACTGAGCCACCCAGATACCCCAGGGCTGATGACTGGTAGGAGAACCTATGAAAAAATGCATTATGGTCTGACAATTGATCTTTTGATCATGTGTGAAACAGAGATTCTTGCTTTCATAAAATTTCATAATAAGCTCAGCAACTTTCATGTTCACACGTTAACTTAAAAATTGATAAAAAGATCTGCTTTGGGGGATATCCAGAGAAGCTTCTCTCTCCACCTAGGCCCATCCACTTTGAAATTTCTTTTTCTCTGGTCATTGTCTCCGTGTTGTTATTTTTATTTTTATTTTTTCCCTTCTTCTTTTTCCTTTTTTCCCCCCTCTTTTCTCTGGTTTTGCTCTGAGAGTCAAGGTAAGAGTAGAGGGATGGAAAATGCCTTTATGGGGTCTGACTTGGCAGTGAAACCTGATAACAGCAGTCAGGCATCCTGCACTCTGAAGATTTATGTACCACTAGGATATCTCCTGAACTTTGTTAAAATTATAGTGTCCATCTCCTTCCCAGTGACATTATAGAAAACTTCTTCTCTTATCATACACTTAGAACATCCCTGCAACCGACCAGGCAGTTAGTGGTGATAGGGTGAGGAACATATCCAGTCATGTTGAATGAAGATGATTTTACATTAGGTACTAGGTTCCTTCAAAAAGGAAGGCAGAAGAGAGGAGAGATTTAGTAAAGCATGAAAAAATTCATGCTCAGGAACAACGTGATGTCTGTGCGAAGTAAAATCTACTCAGCTGCTAACAAGAGCAGACATGTCCAACTCTACAAGTTCCATGAAATGACTTGGGATTCCTTCCTTCCTTATTTTACACACAAGATTTACCATGCTATAGGCGCGCCTGGGTGGCTCAGTCCATTAAGTGTCTGCCTTCGGCTCAGGGGTCCTGGGATTGAGCCCCGCATTGGGCTCCCTGCTCCGTGGGAAGCCTGCTTCTCCCTCTCCCACTCCCCCTGCTTGTGCTCCCTCTCTCATTGTGTCTGTCTCTGTCAAATAAATAAATAAAATCTTAAAAAAAAAAAAAAGATTTACCATGCTATATAAACTCTTCTGAACCTTGCTTTTAAAACTCATATTTTGGAGCCTGTTTCAAGATATTCTATATAGAGCTGCTTTGGTCTTTTCAGTGGTGCTATAATATTTTGTTATTTTGATGTACTATAATAATTTAAAAGATAATCATCCATTATTGAACATTTGAATTACTTCTAATATGCAAATATGGCCTTTTTTGGGGAATACTCTAAATAAATTTTTTGTGCATGCATCTTTGTTTTATATTTGTAAGTGTATTTGTAGCATAATTTCTTGGAAATGGAATTGCTGGGTCTAGAGTGTATGAATATTTTAATTTGGAAAAATATTGCCAAACCATCTTTCATTAAGAATTTGCCAGTTTACGCTTCGTTTTCTTACACAGGGATGCCTGTTTCCTCACTCCTTTTGCCCCCTGGACATTACCAAGTGTTTTGATCTTTGCCAATAGGATAGCTAAACCATGGAATCTTGTTACAGTTTTTATTTGTATTTCTTTTATTAGCAATGATATTTAATATCTTTTCAGACATTTAAAAGTCATTTTTAATTTCCATTTTCTCCAACTGTCTTTTCATGTCTTTTGTCAATTGTGTTCTATCCCTTAAAAAATAATCAGGTAGTTTATCTATTTTATTTGTTTGTTCAAAGAACCAAATTTTGAATGTAATTATTAATAGTACCATTCTTTTTCTGATTTCTAAGACATTGATTGCTGTTTTCAGCTGCATTATTTGTTCCTTCTGTGTTGATTTTTTAAAAAAAAATTAAATGAAGCAAGACTGGCAAAAATGATGAAAACAGCTGGTGTGGTGGGGATGAATATATGGGAATTTATTATAACATTTTTATACTTTTGTGTTTTTTATTTTTTTAAAGATTTTATTTATTTATTTATTAGAGAGCGAACGAGAGAGAAACAGCATGAGAGGGTAGAGGGTCAGAGGGAGAAGCAGGCTCCCCGCTGAGCCGGGAGCCCGATGTGGGACTTGATCCCAGGACTCTGGGATCATGACCTGAGCCGAAGGCAGTTGCTTAACCAACTGAGCCACCCAGGCACCC